AGGGGCTTTTTAGATTTGAAATAGAAACACATCTAAATACTAAAATGTCAAAATAACATTAAATATCAGATAAGAAATTTAATTGCACAGTCATGGATGTCTATTCACGGGGGTGTTTCATTGTGCACAGAGGGAATTTTGAGACTCTTTATTTTATATTTTCTCTATGGTTGAAGTAGTTTAGAATAAACAGATGTAATTATGAATATTAATCAGACAAGGTTTATAAGATTAGAACCAGCTGATTGATTAATGGAATATTAGAAACACTAAAGAAAAAAAGATTTGGTTACACAAGTTATTTATTTATACCAACCATGTGCTGCAATCAATCAAACATTCGCCAACCAAACATTTTATCAACCAAACATTTTATCAACCAAACATTCGTCACCCAAGCATTTATCAACCGAACATTTCATCAACCAAACATCAACCAATATTCCATCAACTAAGCATTCCATCAACTAAACATTCCATCAACCAAACATCTCATCAACCAACATTCCATCAACTAATTATTCGATCAACGAGGGAGGCGTGGCTGCTCTCTCGGTTTTTGAATTGCTCCCAGGATTTTGGAGTTGCTCTCAGGGGTTTGGAGTCAAATGTGAAAATTTATTCGAGAAAAGTCCGTCAAAGTTCTTTGTTTAGATAAAGTTTTTGTGCCCGACAAAATTAATTATAAACAATAATAAAAATTATTAATAATAATGATAATTTTAGAATAAAGTGCTTATCTCACAGTAACTGCATATAAGTACAATTTCATGTGTTCTTTATTTTCGATCTGTTTTTACAATATTTTATTTAATCTTGAAAAATTTCGTTTTCCTTGTAATATTTGACACTATTTGTATTTGATAATCTATTTGGTCCAGACAATAAGTGCAACGAGTACCGTTGTAATCGGACACACCACTTTTTAAATATGTCTGAAGTCCATTAAAAACAAAATTATAAGTGTTTTTTTGCTAACCTCCAAACTGTCATCGATATCTCTGCCCAAGATGTTGAAGAAGTAAACTTTCCAATTAATTTGAGGGATCCTTGATGTCAGCTCTCCGACACTTATCTGTCAACAAACATCATTGGATCATCGTAGTTTAAGATTCAAATTCACAAAAAAAGAGAAAAAATGCAAAAACTGAAGATTTCATTTCACACGAAATGCATTTTTTGACACTCATTCATGATAAAGAAATCTCATAAAATTTTAAAGAATCTCCAAAAGAAATAGCTTTTACAGTTAAAAGATTTTTTTCAGGACGGAACAAAATGTCTACCATTTGGTATGCAAAAAGAACAAAAATTTTCCATGAAGATATTTTATCTAAAACAAACGGTTTCATAAGGAATTAGATACTTGACATGACTCCATGATGTATTGCCTTGTTATACCACTGTCCAGTATCATGTCTATCTGCTTCATCAAGAGATATATTTGCCAACAGTTTCTCAAATTCAATAACTTCCCACATCTCTTGACTGGCAAGAGACACAGGAGCACCCAGAATTATGGCAACCTTTAAACAAAATGATACAAATATTTGAATATATATATATATATATATATATATATCTATATATATAATTTGGTATCCTGGATTTAAGGTATGCAAGTACATGAGTTCAGTTCTTTATATATATATATATATATAATTTGGTATCCTGGATTTAAGGTATGCAAGTACATGAGTTCAGTTCTTTATATATATATATATATATAATTTGGTATCCTGGATTTAAGGTATGCAAGTATATGAGTCCAGTTCTTTATTGTCCAATGTCAGGACTATTTGCTTCAAACTCTAATTTTCTAAACTTTACACTTTTGTAATCTGATTTCGTATTTAGAGCTTTGATATTTACATTAATGAATTTTGCTAGATCAAATTCTCAATCCTGCAAAGATTAGAAAATACAAGTTTAAAGCGAGTTATTAATTTCTTTTTTTAAAAAGTAATCAACTAATGAAGTTTATACCAGGGGTGGATACAGGATTTAAGTGAGGGGGGTGCGAAATTTATTTCGGAACAAAAAAATCCAAATTTAAGAACAAAAAGACGTGAAAATTTTTTTAAAGATAGATATTTGTCCTGTCTAACATTAGGTTTTCTTTCCCTTAAGTGATATTGAGAAGCTATTCTAAAATCTCATGGGGGTTCAAAGTTCCTGCCGCCCCCCCCCTGTATCCACCCCTGTATACCTTTGTCATGTAGTTATGATATGCATTAAGATCATGTTTAGATCTATCTGACAAGTAATATTCCCTGCTAGGAAGCCCCAGGTGTGGTTGATCTATCTAAACAAAGATTACTGAACATTTACCCTTTTCCACTGTCAATTTCATACAATGCGAAGAGAAAACTGTGGAATAAGTAGACGAAAAGTGTATTTGTAACTTATTAAATCAGTTATCAAGATTACAGGGTCTGTTTACATTGCACAATTGCTAAGTCTAATATTTACTGTAATACTTAAATTCATTACTTGAGTCTAAAAGTTATTTTCCTATTCCAGAGTTTAAATATATTTTTGGTTCTGAGTTTGAAATTAATTAATTAACTGTACCAAGATGGTAAGATCAACTTCTTACTATGCATTAATTCTATGATATATGTAGTAATGTTGAAGGATTCGATAATGGTGTTAATACTGAAATAATAAATGTTTTGGTAATAATTAATATTGCAGCTTCTTTAATCTTTACAATTTTCTGCATATAAATAAATCTGTACAATATAATACTATTAATACACTAGTTCTTTCAAATTATAAATATTGGTATCTCTAAATAACTTGCTTAGAAAATGCTCAGCAGAAGAGTCTTTAAAGTGGGCTTTATATAAAAACAATCCAGTAAAGAAAAAAAATCTGAAAAATCTTCTTGACTTATTTTAAGAAGATATATTTGTATATATGTACATATGTTAGCTATAGCTGGCCAAACAGCCTGGCCAAATTGGCTGAATTTTTTTCAGAGAACCAATGGGCACTGCACCGTGGGGAAACAAAAATCGTATTTTTTTTTTAGAAATTTAAGTTTTTTCAAAAGTCCACAGGCAACGCCGGGCACTTTAGCTAGTAAATAATATATTTAAATATTGAATATTGTATTTCTACCTGGAGAATATATTGATCACTATTCCTATCATCAGGTCCAACCCAGGCATCAATCAGGAATCCAGAGTTTACAAGTTTTCTTACTTCTCCCAGAACCTTCTCCATTGAAGGAGGTTCCTTCCAGTCAGACATAGTTACTGGCCAACCTCCTAGCTCGGATACAGCGTCTCTGAATTCAAGAAATGTGTTTTTAATGGAAACCCCATTTACTTAAAGGGACAGCTCACGTGTCTTCAAAAGAGACCCCCCCCCTCTTTTGTTTGAAAAGTGACACGGACGATTCACATCGGATTTCCTGTACACCTCTCCCTCTGAGCATCATATAAGAAAGATATTGCTGCCGAAATATGTTGAATTCTTACAATTTTATGCAGTCTCTTTACATCTAAATCCGCAATATACTTTTATAGAAAACCAGTATTAAAAATGTTCAATTTTCAGACAGGAACAACATAATATCTTTGTTTTAAATGTAACTCAAGAAGTCGAGGGTACAGTCCCCTTAAAAAAGAACATTTTAGTTACCTTAATGGCTTGTCTCCGATTTTCTCAATAAGCTGATTGTTAATACATGACTGGTAAAACTTCTTGACTTGCTTTGTCATATTTAGGTCTTTCTCTTCAATCGGTTGTTCAAGAAGCCCTTTCAACAGTATTTGCAGCTGATCAGCCAACACCTCGAAGGTTGAAACACTCGACCTATCTTCAGGTATTATATGTTTCTTGTTCCATGTTCCACAAGCATACTGAAAGAAATCATCACATGGATCGGCTTGAGTATCCATAGCTGCCAGTAGGGACGCAGCTGTTTGGACGCAGTCAGCTGTCACACACATTTTACTCTTCCCACTCTCCTCTCCTAACTTAAAACTGTGAAACAAGCAAGGGTGTAAAAAACAAAGTATGAGAATGAGTAACAAGCATAAAAAAAGGATAATTACAAGTCCGCAAAGGTCCCAGGCTATGCGATGTCTTCTGCAAAGAACCGCTGGAATTCTGGATGTCCATGGACAAATGTACTTGGAAGTAACATCACTAACTGGTAAACTACAGTCTTTAGCAATCACACTTGCTCGTCCATCAAGTGTAAGAACACTTGCTCTGCTGTCTACAGCCATGAACCCATCGTCCACAACTGGGGGGACAACATCCACCTGCCTCATGTTTACTAGCTGCTATCCACCAGACATTATTCTAAATTACAAAATATTTTTTTTTTAATCATTTAAAGTCATAAGTTGTAACAATTCATGCATGGTGTGTACTGTGATGTTCTAGGGGCAGAAATGAAAATATTAAACCACAGTATTTTTATTAAATGTGAGCTAAACTACACAGTTGTGGAAATTAAGCATCAACTCTTGAGAACGGACTTACTTTAAAGTATCGCTTAGTTTTGCCTAAAGCCAACCAAGTTATAATTCTTAGCGGCTCTGGATAAATTTTGTATTTTCAATCTCCATCTTATGCAGACTTTTGGAATAATCGATTCTTATTCTCTACAATACAACTTTGATTAAGGAATTAACCATTGATCCTCAAATTCAAAAGTTTCAATGTTGGATATCGAGATCAGCGTTCAATATTGACAATATCCACACAGAAGTTCAGATTTCTGTTTCCATTAACTTTAATGACAGTTTTCTAATCTCTATAGGGAAAATGTTCAATATCAACAAATATATGTGAACATTTTAGGTAACAAAATAATTTTGACCTTTTTTGTTTGTTTACATTTTCAAGAATTCTAAAAGTTTTAACACCCATTTAAATACATTGTTTTGTTTTGAGCTAAAATTTAGTCTGAACTGAAGTTGCCCCCCTCTACCCCCCCCCCCCC